CGTGGCAGCTGATTTTCCTGTCAGCTTTGCTCGCACAAACATGCTGGACGTTCACGAGCAACCTCACAAACGACTGAAGGAAAACCTTTTCAAAATACCATCGACAAAACTTGAAACGGTCTGGGCTAAAATGTGAGGTCTAAGAGCTTGCTGCGCTGCCCTTTGGTGGGCCAGAACCAAGTAAGCAAGTGTTGGAAAGCCTTGAGAGAGACTTCATGAGATTTAAAGATAAATATTACTTTTAATGAGAGGAAGAAGAATTGGGAAACCAAACCTCCTTCGCCTCCAGAAAAAATAAAAATAAAATCGAGATGCATCAGCCGTTCTTTCTCAACCAGATTTGGTAAATTTGCGCCAAGCTAGTACCAAGGAAAGGATGTGAACTCGTTTCAGAAAAGTGGAACTTAAAAAATACTCCCCACCGGTTCTTGCTTTCATGCTCCCCCTCGTGGACTAAGCTGTCAAAAATAATTTCAAGGAAAAATATTCCTAAACTTTGCTCTGTTCCTTTACAGATCCTATTTAAAATTCTGAGAGGACATAGTGATACTGTGAGCTTGTGCCATTTTTGCTTTGAAGACACAAAAAGCCTCATGCTCTTATGATAGAACAGTGAAGCTGAGGTATGTTATAAACATAACAAGAACAAATTAAAAAAAAAAATCTTAAAGCTGAAATCAAACGGAATGTTATACAGGCATGAAGCATTGAGGAGCTTTCTGAAGATGTTGTACTAAAGCTTAAAAATAGCAACTGTAAATGTTTTTGCAGTCACAGATAAATAGTAGAACTTTCATACTTCAAGCACATTCTTTGACATTAAAGTGTGAGTCTTCTAAGCGTATGTAGCATACGCTGAATCAGAGCGCTCCAGTTTATTAGTATTTTAAAACTGTAAGTTGAAAAACAAAGCTTACTCTTTTTCTCTTGAAAGTTCCTTTTTCTGACTTGTTTATGTATGTGGCTGTTTGTGGAGGAGAAGTAGAAGTTAGGGATCACACAGTTGTTGCCAGCATGGCTGTGGTGTTTTCATATTTGTGGCTTGCTTTTCTCTTTTATTTAAATCTTGATTTTCACCCTTCATTTTCTTGCTTCTCCTTTTGTGTAGTTACCTGGGGTTTCCCTAGAATTCTGGCCACCCTGGGCAGGGCAGTGGTGAGATCTGAACTGGGGAAGTGTACAGATCCTAGGTAATCAAGTCCAAATTTAGTCTAAAAGATACCCTAGAGACATTTAGTTATGTGAGCCCTTGAATTTTACCCAAGTAAATGTCAACGTAGCTGTGCTAAATAGATTGCAGGCATAGCGATCTGGCACATATTAAACAGCCATGACCTGATTCAAGAATTGGTAAGGTGTTATAATAATGCCTTACTATGATATGAATACAGATGAAATAATTTTATAAATTATCTTAAGTGTTGATTTCTTGCCAATGCAGTGCTAGGTTTCAGGCATACTGAAAAAGCCCAAGAACATCAAAAGTGTAAAATGTCCAGGCAATTCTCAGGTTAGTACTGTTATGTTACCCAAGAGCTGTGGATGGCTAGATCCAAGAAATCAGGAAGTGTAGAATGAAAAAAAGTCCCATCATTTAATGATCAGTTCCAAAGTAAATAAACAGATATTAAGATCTTAAGCAAATATTGTACATAAGAGAAATAAAAATAAGTATCTCAGACTGTTATTCATCAAATTTACAGTTTAATAACTGTCAGATTGACAGTTCTGAACTTTCCTGCTTTGTCTGAACTCAGAACTGGAACTTGTATTTTTCTATCTTTAGTGAAATGATATTCAGCTGTCTTACATGTGAGTAAATGGAAATCTCAAAAATGAGAAGATAATACATTGTTTTTTTAAGCACAGTAGTTCCATAAATGTTCTTTTTGATGGAAGGGCTGTAATGTGCCACTTGCCTAAAGTGTGGAGAGGTTAATATGCCCAAGAAATTTTATCTTTATAATTCTTAACTAAGAAAGATTTATTCAGTGCTTGTTGAGAAATACTTATTTTTCAGAATCTATCTAAAAGTATTCATCTGAGTATTGGAAACTTTCTGATAGCGATGCAATGGCAAGATTATGTCTGTTTATTTTTATAAGATTAATTTTGTGGGGACAAGCCGAATTTCCTCTTCTGCGGGACCAGCTGAAGCAATTAGAATTCAGGAGGGTATGGAGGACTTGGTCTCGGAGGACGAGTTCAACCCTGACAATTTCACTTTGGGTTCTCTGTTTTTCCTTTGAAAGAGTAGATATCAAATGATTAAGTGTACTGAGAAATCATCTGAAGTTTCTCTTGAGAACAGACAGTATCTCACTGACAGTCCACACATCTTTTGGAAGACCAAGATTAATAGGGTGCACACCAGACAAAGACCAGGTAAGTCTGGAAGGGCAGTCGTGACTGCAAGTCTTTTTTGACTCAGAAAAATAGAACATGAACACTTGGTAACTTTGATCTATTTTTTTCCCCCTTTCGGTCACTAGGAGGTGTTCATAATGATTCTAGTGTCAGTTGTTAGGCCTATGGTGTCTTGACATACATTCAGAAAATAAGTGAAAAAGTGAAAAATAAATTTACTTTCACTCCAGTTTTGTCTGTTATCGAGAGCTGCCAAGTTAGCAGGATAGCTCCTTCAAGTGAAAGTCCTTGTAAGGAAGCAGCTCTAGATCTGAGACTTGACAGTTGATGTTAAAAAGGGGAGCAGTAGTCAGAGGTGCAAGATTTTATTCTTATATTGAATACAAATGAAAGAAAACACACACAACGAAGGGATGTTCCAGACTGATTCTGAAATCTCTTGGTACTTACACAACAAAAATCCAGTTGGAATAATTGCGCTAATCACGGAAATAGAAGATTATTTGCCTAGATGAAGTTATGATGACTGATGCTGTGATACTTTGATCTGTGAGTTACTCTGCATGCCAGCAGTCCTGGGGTTTTTGTTTTAATGTTTACGTTCAAGCACCGTGATCCATTTGTAAAACTTGATTCATGTTTTTGTTTGTATTACTAACGAACTTCAAGGCTTTACTCATGGGTTAGGACTGTGCTGTGCTAAGAACATTATACGTGTATAACAAAAAGATAGTCCCTTCCTGAAATCACTTAAAACTCTCTGTGTAACATATTAAGTAGATAAAAGATGATGGAGAAACGTAACAGCCTCAAGTTGCACCAGGGGAAGTGTAGATTGGATATTAGGAAAAATTTCTTCGCTGGAGGGGTTATCAAGCATTGGAACAGGCTGCCCAGGGAAGTGGTGGAATTACCATCCCTGGAGGTGTTTAAAAAACGTGTAGATGAGGTGCTTAGTGACATGGTTTAGTGGTGGGCTTGGCAGTGCTAGGTTAATGGTTGGACTCTATGATCTTAAAGGTCTTTTCCAACCTAAATGATTCTATGATAAATGAACTAGTAATACAGTATGGGTCATCGTCTCAGCCCTTCAGCTGTTGATTGCTGTTGTAGGAAACAAAACAGTCATTTAGGTGGGATTTTGTATTATGAGAGAGATTTCCAGTTGTTTATAGGTGACTCCTTCAAAACATGAAGAACAGGAAAGGAGGACTCACAGATTTAAAAATGCAACAACTGAGTGACAAAGGCTGGCATCAAAGGTGGGGCAGAAGGGAGATGATATCTAGGGATAAATCACAGGTAGCTTTGTATTTGAAGACAAGAGGCTTGCATTTGTGACTGAGAATGAGGAATCAATGAAGGAACACAAATAGAGGGAATGACATGATGCGGACAGTAAAGGGAAATCTGTGGCAGAGCAGGGGAGACTGCATTTGTGCAGAAGAAGATGTTGCAATAATTGATAGAGGGATGCAGGCCTTGAGAGTGTGTTTTAAATATCTGAATGAGAATCGAAAGCCGTATATTAGTTTATGTAGAAAGACTTCCCAGGATTTAGGTATGGACATGGATGTGAGAGTCTAAGGAGAACTCTTTCAAGAGATTTCTGGTGAAAACTATTGTGGTGGGAAGGAGGTAAATAGAAGTCTTGCTGTGACAGATGAAGAACTCTGTTTCAGTCAGTCTTGAAATAAAAAGAAGAAATAGAGATTCTGAGATTGTAAGAGTAACTAAAGTAAGAGTAACTTTACTGATTTCGTGAGTTTTGGTTTCCCTTATTTTGTGATGCTTTGTAATTTTTTACAATTTAGCAGAGCACTTCCTAATCAAAGTCATTTGGACTTACTCAAGGATGTTGAGAAAGGTTTTCCTATTCAAGTTTTTGAAGAAGAACACACCACCCCCATTTCTGAGTGCAACTTGACTCCTGATGACAGAAAGTAACCATTTTCTATCTTAATTTATTAAAAAAAAGTGATGGGTTTTGTGATTTCAAGGTTCTATTTCAGTGCACGTGGAAACACTTAGTACAAAATTTAGAACAAATAAGTTAACTTTTCTAATCCTTCCTATGGTTTCCTAACTTGTACTACATTACAAGTGCTTACTTTTGCACTCAGAGATGTCGTTCTGTTATAACCTTGTCTTATATCTCCCTTCCTCCATACACTCTGCCTGCTTCTCTCCATCCTTGTGCTTTCATTTATGCTGTCCATACTCTGTTAGCAGACTGTTTACTGCCAGATTCCTTCATCCACATGAACTATCGTAAATCTCACTTTGTTCTCACCTACAATTTGTACAGGAGCTCTTAAATGTTTTTTGGTTTGCATATGGTGCCTGCTGAATTAAACACAAATCTTTTTATTGTCTTAAATGCATGTTGGAATAGTCTGATAGATTATGGCCTCTTTTAGGGCAAAGGACTTGTGTAATTCTGTTCCTGAGTTATACAGGGCTGGAAGTCTATCTTTGCCATACATGCTGAAAGGGTTATATAAATATATATCACTTGTATAAAAGAACAACATTGAATTAGCCAAGGTTCAGGGGTTCATCTGTCAGTGAGATTTATACCTTCATAGAAGTTCTCTTCTGTGTGTATTGTTTATTAATATTCTAGAGCCTTTCCATTAAGCCTGTCTTGTCAATTAAAGAAATGCATCTTAATCCAGTGTCAATCTGTGGACATAATAATTAAAACAACTACAGCATATATTAACATTTGGTTAAGTAGGTCATGCAGTGCCTCCAGGGGTACTATTTCTGGCATATTGTATCATTAAATCATAGTTTAAATCAATTTTTGTCAGGTTGTAGAGTTGACTGAGTAGTTTTTTGATAGCTGAGTAGTACACATGCTACACTGCCTACTGCAGCCACCTATATTTTTGAAAATTGCTAAACAGCGAGTGAAATACCATTGTGTACAGCCCTTTCCAATCGAATCAAAATCAACTTTCCAAGCAGAAATGCTACCAGTTCATAAACTTCATGTGGCCTTTTGCATTACGTGTTTCTGTTCAGGAGCAGAGATTGTGTTGGTTCCAGGAAGTATACGCATGTGGAGAAAATAAAAATATTTTAATAAAATCACTGTATTTTTAGTTGTTAGAATGTAATGCATCAAGTTTCTTGGACAAAATGTATAAAAGTGACAGTTTATGAACTTGTATCAAAATAAAAAGCCACACTGGCACTAAAAACCTTTGTCAGATCCAGTGATTTTCAATATAAATATTAGTTTGGATATTTGGGAATATTTTAATAAAACTGCATGAAGGAAAAAATTTTGACCTCCCATTTAATGGGAACCTGCCAGTTTTCATAAACTTTATTGAATAGCTTTGTTGTCTAATGTGGCTTTGTGTTTGTGCAGACCAGTGTTTGTGGTAGAGGGTTACCCAGCAACACTGAAAATCCAAAAAACCCTACTGACAAGAACATTCCACATTCATTAAAGAAAAGACATTATAATGGCTTTAGAATTATTCTGATGTTAGAAATAGTTAAGTATCTTGTAATCGATGAAATGAAATTGCATTGACTGCTTGCACTGAAAATTACGTACATGACACTTTTATTATTAGTTTCTATCTGAAAGATAAACAATCCTTTTTTGAACAAGGCTATACAATAATTTTTGCTTTAGCCTTTAAAAATCTATTTCAAATTAGTGGTTGTGAGGATGTCAAATCATTGTCAGAATTAAATGTAATTTATTTTTTAAATACCTTCTAAGTGAAAACATTAATTGCTGTTTTCATTATTTTTAGAGAGGTAACATCGTCATATGATAACACTGTCAAGGCTTGGGGTATGGAAAGAGGAAAAATTCTTGTATGTGTGCTTTTGAATGCATCTTGAAGAAGGCACAACTGTAAAACTCAGATTTATTGCTTTGTTGTTGATAAATAAGAAAACACAACATTCTTTGTTAGCACAGTACAATATAGTTAGGATAGGTAGGCTTGATTTTTAAACCTAGTTTTGGTACTAATAATTGCTTGAGTAAGTCTCTTGATGAACATGTCGCAGTTATTTCAGACACAAATGGGTATGATGATCATAACGTGTCTCAGAAGATACATTTAAGATTGATTAAATTAACATTTTAGGATTTGAACAGGGTGGCCTTGTCTAATTTAAGTTTATTGCTAGTGCAAAAATAGAAAAAATTGATATAAAGAGATCTATGAGCTTTTACCAAAACAAAGTAATACCAAAAGCCTTCTTCCTAAGTCTGCTTACAGATTATAGAAAGTCTGCTGTAAAACCCTCAAGTAGGTTTCTAAAACGTTTGGTTTTCTCTTTAGTGGACAATAGAACATGAAGGCACTGTAACTTCATGTAGTATTTCTTGTGATGGTAGATACGTGGTATCTGGTTCAGACAAAGAAAATGCCCTGTATGGGTTTAATGCAATAGGTGCAACGGTAGTGGCACATATCCAAGATAAGACTTATGCCTTTTACATCTTGTTTATGCTGCTCTGGATTTTTTTTTTATTTCTTACCAAAAATTGAGAAAATTAATTAATTCAGTTCAGTTCAAACATCCTTACTAGAGGAAGACAAAAGAAACTTATCTGTAAGACATTAAACCCGGTATTTTTCAGAATAGGCTTATAAAAAGGAGGTAATGGGCCAAAATTAGACCAACAGTGATTCTTTTTTGAATGGTAATTTCCCTTGAAGGTAACTTCACTAGTGATAACCTCAGTCTCATGAGGCTTCCACTCAGAACTGCTGATCAGGGAGTTTGCCATTCCTGCAGAATCAGCTTCAAAATATATGAGCAGTCTTACAAATTTTAGATTAGCATCTGGTTAACATGCTCCTGTGAATCAGGGCCTGATGGTAAAATCATTTGGATTTAAAAATAAAAAGTACAACAAATGGATCATAATACTTTTATTAGAACTGTCTCTCTTAGGTGAAACTATCAGGACATATTTTGTTTACATTATTTTAATGGAGCTATTTGTATTCTTAAAGTATAATTACCTGTGTAAGTGTTCCCTAAAAGTCTGAGCAGTTAACTGTCATTGACATTATGGGGCCCTACTTACAGACTTCACTTTCAGGAATGCAGCAGAGAAGTAAGTTACTACAGGGCAGCACGTGAATTCACAAGAGCTGTGTGTGGTGAGTGCCTGGGTACAGGTTCGTATTTCATACTATCTGCAGTAACTATGAGGCCTCTCTTTCACTGAGTGGTAGGTGAGGAGGTGTCCTAGCCAGTGAAAGAGCAATTTTGAAATTACAGTGTTTTGGAAATAGATTGATGCATAGATGCTATGGGTAGTTCTGCCTTTCAGGTCTGTGTTCTGTGATCCAGATGTAATTATCCAAAATAACTAATAGATGTTTTTTGTGTAGGTCGTCACAAAAGTACAATGGCAAGATGTTGTTTTGACCCTGATAACAGTGACTTCAGTATCATATGATAAGACCATAGAGCTGTGGGATATGATAACACAATCCAAATCGATTACAATTAATGAATAAGAAACAATTCTATATTTAATTATCTGTGGCATTATTTGCATCTTTACAGTTATCAGTCAGATTTATGCTGAGTTATACTAGAGAAATGGAACAATAATTGTTGAACTGAATAAAGTAATACGCAAGCAAATGACATATATAGAAAGCGCAAATGAAGTGGTCCGCTCAAGCTTCCTGCTGTAAATAATTGAAAAATTGTGTTTTGATGACTGTAAGCATTTCTAGTGCTATTTTTTTATAGCTTCTAGGTTCTTGGGTATATATAGAGGCAGAAGATAGCATATGCAATATGGTACTGCAGTGTAAACTTCTTGTTCTAATTTCTACCAATTAGGAAAAACGTATAACTGTTGAAGATGAGATAAAATGTTACGTAGATAGTGAAGTCTTTAAAAACATTATGGAGTAATACAAAAATAATGCAGAGGAAAAGGAGAAAACATATCTAGATGTTGGGAACTGATAATTAATTATGAGTTCTTACAGAATATTTTTGTGACAATTAGGTTGTGCACTGCAACCGCCTTAGCCCTTCATAAAATTCATGGGCCTCAGAGCAACCACAGGATGATCTGCTTTGCTCCTAATGAGCTCCAATGAAGACCTCACAGACTTCCAAACAATGTTCCCTTGTCTCACTGTGTTAATCATTAGAAACATTTTCCTAAGGTGGACTGTTTTGTCTGCAGCTTAAGCTCACATGTTTCCGTTTAGATCCACTTCAGATGTGGAGATCAGATTATTTGCTTGTTTTCTGCTACATTTTTATATATAGCCAAGAACTTCTATTTTATCTGCCAAGTCATCTTTTCAATAGAGTAAACCATCCTTTTTTATTTAATATTTAATTATTATTTCCTGGTTTACTGATCATTCTTCTTGTTGATCTCTGAGATCTTTCTAATTGGCCCACATTTTTCTTGAATTATATGGCCCTATAATAGTTTGCCCTCTAACTGGAAAAAAATAGATAATTTTTCCTTATCTGCTTTTGGAGAAGGTCATGCCCAGTGCCAGAAGCCTTGCTCAGAATCATTTCCTGAGCCTTCACGTGCTAAACTCTTATATCTCTCACTGAAGTCAGTAATACAATAAAAACATTATGTCAATTTAGGATATTGTTATAATTTTAAGAAGGAAGTATACCACAATAGGGATGTCAAATCAACCATTAAAAATATCAACGGCTTTAAATAAACTCAACCAATTTAGCTTTGAATTCTTAAGACAATAATCAGAGAGGGAGTCTGCCTTTAAACACTGTAATAAAATTGTCTTTAAGGGATTAGGAATTACTTTGGATGGGAAATTCAATCTGGAACATTGTAATGTTTCTTTTAAATTGCAGTGACTGCGGCATTGTTTCCTGTAAGAGATGCTCATAATCTTTTCCCCACTGTAGATTTTGGGAAGCGCTGGAGTCCTCACTCAGTTCTGGAACATCCAGATTTATTTTCTGATGGTTATCACTGCTTCCAAAATTAGATGTTAATCTAGAATTGTTTAATCTTTTTCCTCTGAATGTTTGAGTTTCAGTTTACAAGTAGAGATAGAGGCATGCTATTTGTTCAATGAAAAATGTTTGGTTTTTTTTTTTTGTAATTTACTTTTAGTAGAATGTGGTTGTGCTGGAGCTGCTGAACAATTTCTTGTTGAGATGTGTTCAACAAACAAACAAACAAAAAAAGCTGATCACTTGTCACTTAACGGCTAGGGTTCAATCCTGCAATATGACCTAAGCCAGTAAGGGATTTAAACCCATGCTGGCTGTGAGGTTGTAAGCAGCTCCAGATTCTTTACAGAAGTATTCATGTGGCTGAAATTCAGAATACGCTTATGATGCTTTACTGGATGGAGACAGGGTGTTCAATGTTGCAGGAGGCTTTTTGAGAGATTTGTACTGGTTACAAAAGCTTACGCGTCCTGTGTTTCATGGGACACAGCAACGCTATCTCAATTGTTGCTGTACCTCCGATGGTCGTTACTTGTGCACAGCATCCTGGGACAGAAGCTTAAAACTATGGGATATAAATACAGGAGAATTTTGGTGTCATGAACCCGTTTCCTTGAACCAAGGACATGAGGGTTCTGTTAGTTCCTACCTTTTTAGCCAAGATGGTGAGTTATCTTAATACTAGTGCATGTCGTATCTCAATACCTATATATAGGACATCTCAGATAAACGACAAGTGGCCACTCTAATCATCTAGGTAATTAATTCGCCATTTCCAAGATAACATGTTTAATTATGAGAAAATGATGTCCATGTAAATAACTAAATTGAAGTTGATGGTCTGTTTTCTGTCTTAACCAGGCAACTGGAACACTTGCTTAATTGATATACCCATCAAGAGGTGCAATAAAAAGATCATAACAGAGTAAAAGCAATACTGTGTTAGAAGATTAACTTAGCACTTGTGGATATTCTCCTAATTAGTTAGTCAAAAACACATGTTCAGTAAGTACTGTAATAATTAGGAAAATGTGTATGTCTCTGTTAGTACCCCCAAAAGTAATATTACTTCACAGCCCAAACAACATATGCTAGTAATATACGTCTGAAAAAACATTCTATGATTCTGTAACTTCATGGATGTTCTCAGCTACACTGATAGAGCACATAAACTACCATGTTTAAAGTCGATGATATTTATGAGTTATAACAGGACAATTTGGCACCTGGACCTTGATGTATCCTTGATGCTTGGATGAATAGGAGGAAGAAAGAGACTCCCCAGTTTGCCTATGTCTGAGTGGAGGTAGTGAGGAGCTATTTTCTTACTGCTCTAGCTCTGTTACTTTCACTGGATTGTAGACAACTCCTAGTCCCTCCGCAACAAGAAATTAGTGTTACTGCAAGCTGCTACTGCACTGAAACAGCTTCGCTTCTCTTCACTGGGACGGACTAATATGAATTTTTGTATATTGTGATCTAATTGGCTGTTTTCTTTTGTAACTTCACATCTGAATATGCTAGTAAAGATGACTCCTGAACTGCTGACAGCGGGTTAACTGCAGTCGTACCCAAACAAGGCCTTCTGAGGTAGGCAACTCAAATAAATAAATAGCAGCTCTGTGCAGAAGAATGTACCTGTGGCTTGAAGACATGCAAATGCAGATAGGCCTGTGAATATTGGAATCTGAAAGCATGCTTTCCACACTAAACTCTACTTTTTTTGGTTTTATTCACAGTTGACCTAATAATTCTGAAAGTATTCTCTATATTTTCATTTTTAAACAACGTATCTCCTTAATTTTCTAAGTCAACAAAAATTTCACGTATGTTTTTTTTCCAGTCAGTTGTGTATTTGGTAAATTTATGTATTAATATTTCCAAAATTAAGAACATTAAGAACAAGTAGCCAAAAGGAACTTCTGCTACCTTGTTTAAGGCATGACTAATAGCTCATTTAAAATCTTTTATAAAGTCTGACATATTGTTAGAAGGAGCCTCTTTTATTAGTCTGTATGACAAAACAAAGATAAAATACAGTTTTCTGATGTTACATTTCAGCATCACTTGTGTCTGGTGGATATGACAAAACTATAGCTATATGGGATACAGATGCAGGCTATAACAAGCTGAGCTTAAAGGTATTGAGCTCTTATTTGGTCGCTAGTTTGATGAGAAGGTGTAAAATGTATTGCTGCTTTAAAAGCATTGTGTATTTCATTATCCGACAAATACCCTTGCCCATCCTTTTTAGATACAGGCAGGAATGTATGCTGGATTTGTGTGATTTAATTTCCTAGAACATTATGTTCTTGTACCATTAGCTACAAAGATATCACCTTTGTCAAGTCAGTTGTTAATAAGCTATCACGTTTTTCTTTTTTATGAACAAGCTCATTCAAGGATTATATTGAATGGAGTTGTACCTGTGTTTTAGGAGGAAGTTTCTTACAGCAAGTAACAAGAGCCTGAATACTGCATGTATTCATTTTGAAGTGCCACACTTTTTGTCTGCCTGTATGTTTACACTTGCTTATGTCCACAGAAGACAGTACATTGAAAGGGAAGCATTCAAAAAAAAAAAAGTGAATATTGGTGTTGAGGTTGTCAAGCTTAGCTCAGGCCCTAGGTTATATAGTTTACATTACTGCTTATAGTGACAGTGATGTGGTCCACCATGTTACGGTACTTTTTAGGATGGACAATTCCGTAAATGAGGTAGCTCTTCAGTATTTAGCTATCCCTGCTTAGAGCTAGGCCTCCTCTTTTCTTCCATATCCATGGTAATACTACCCAGAATTTGAGGTGGTAAGTAATACCTGCATAAAATGTAAAAAAAAAAAAAAAGTACAACTCTCATTAGGGGTTTTTTTGGTGCCATCATGACTTTATTTTTTGCAAACATACCATTTTGTGTTACGATACCTTTCATTCGTTTCTTACTTTGGTGGAAACAATCCACAAGACTTGAACTAATGATCAGACATGTGGGTCAAAGAAAAGGAGTGATGTGCTTGCATTTTGCAAATATTAATGTCACAGAAGTCAAGCAATGTCAGAATTCAGGTTTGCAACTGTGGCTCTTTCCTATCTTGTGAAAATATGATTTTAATGGACTTTTTTTTTTTTACTTACTGTACACGCTATTCAGAGCTTAGTTAAAACACTCATGAACAAACCCACCTGGAAGATCTCAGAAAAGACCACTTTCCTTCAAAACCTTGGGCTTAAAAATAGCTTTCAACTGCTGTCATGTTCAGGCTAGAATCTTCATCTAGGAGAGCTCATAAGCCTGTGCCTCACACCTGTTACCTTAAATGTAAGCTTACCTACCCTCTGGAATTGAACTGTACTGAGCAGTAACAGGACACATTCTCCACAGGTGCTTTACCTCCTAACAGCTACTGCAAATTTCCCAGTTCACAGCCAGCATTGTAAGGAACGCAGTTTCCCGTTTCCCATAAAAAGGAGGCATCTGTTTAAATGCTAATTTCTTTGTAACTATGGAGAACTCAAGTTTAGTATCCGTGCCTTAGTATAATTATATTCTGGGCTCATAACTAAATTTAAAAACATGTTTTAGAAGTTCTGCTATGAAAACCACATTTATGTATGCATGTTTGACGACTACTCTGTGCTGGAAAAATGTATGTTCATCTTCTTATTGTATTCCTCAGGTGTGGCATCTGGCTATCAAAATGACACTGTTCTTTCCTAAACTCTAGGAATTTTAGCTGTAAATAACATTCATGTTTGAATAACCTCCCTAGGAGGAGTAAATAATTAATTTTAGATTTTAACCTATTTCTATTCTTACGCCGACCCAATGCTGTTAACCTCAAGTCAGCTGTGCTGCTGTTGTCAGAATGAGGATATCCGATACAGCTGCTTGACTTGGCCTGCTTCAGAATTGGTTTCCTTCCTGTGAAATGGGGGGAAGCTGCTGTCGGTTCCTACAGCTCTTCCCTCCATTATCGCATGATAAACAGCCTCAAGATTTTTTTAGGTAAGGAGTATTAGCAGTCAACTCTGTCTTTACAATTCTTTATTAAACTGTTTAAAACATAGAAAAGACCTGTGCTTAAGTGGAGCTTAAACCCCTGGTAACTGTGTAGCTGTTGTTCTGCATGCTACAACTGGTAGTCTGCTTACCAGAGGTGGTAGCAGCCTCTGTTCTCAGGCATATGTAGGAACGAATGAACTTCATGGCAGCATTTTTTCTTGACTGGACACGAGGCAGCCTAGATAAGAATTTTCTCACTGTATTTCAAAATAGATTTATGGTACAAGTAGTTGGTTTTATAGTAAATACAGTAAAAGGTTTTTTTCCTTGTGTTACAGTTAAATTTTGCTTTACTGTAGGGTCATTGGGACTGGGTGACAGATGTTGAGAATAGCAAAAACAAGAAATGGATTCTTTCAGCCTCAAAGGTAGTCGCTAATTCCTGATGAGGTTTCAGGAGCCAACTTAGAAATGGATGTTAAGATTTCATGCCTAGTTTTCAGCTTTTTTTTTGATGAAATTTAACAATGACACTTATAAAAGTACTAAGTTGTAATCAGTAATTACCTCAAGTAATTACAGAAAATCTTTAAAAGACTTGGATAAGTGTGTTTATTTTTGGTTATTTTAAAATGTGCAGGCAGTTTAAGATTATGATAAAGATTGTTTCTAAAGACATGATATTTAAATGATATTTAAATTTAGCTCTCAAGTTGAGAGGGCTCATCTGATGAGATGAGATTTCATCCTTACAGAAATGATGTAAATCACTCTTTTGGTAGTATGTAAATAAATCAAAATAATTGCATCTTTTCCTCATGATTCTACTTTGAGATTGTGGAATATTGAAAAGATGGATCATATTCCTTTCGTGATAGCGGAATAGCAAGAAGCTGAAAAATTGCTCAGGTTCTATCACTTTGGTTTTTAACAGCACCTTACACTTCATTCAGAAAGAAAATTTGAATGTTAATGGAAAGCTGTCAGATTTCCAGGCTGAAAACTCAAATTGATTGTGTTTGCTCTCTCTTTGCAAAAATTGTCAAATCCTTTTTTGGGAGTTGGACATAGTAATAACTGTTTTTTTAAAAAATTGATTTTGGTAAGGACACCAATTATCATATACACATGTGGGGTTTTTTTTTAGCAAATGCAGCCACATATGTGTACTTTTAAAAATAAACATATTTTGCTATTCTACACCTGATGCTTCTGCAGAGTGATTGGCTGCTTATATAGGAGTATTACTAAACCAAGGCAGGTAATATTCATGTGCTCCTGGGCATAAATCAGCTTATACGAATTCTGGGGAGTGTCTTTAAAGCTGAGACACTATGTATTCTGACTTCTAAAACATAAATTATAAATAGGTGTTAGGAAAGAAGAACATTAACAAGCTTAATGCTATTGAAACATGCTTTTTATTGTAGTCCCTCAATTGGTTTTGGTAGTGGGTTTACAAGGTCTTGTGTGTATTTTCCTCCTTGTCACTAACCATTAAGTGAAACTGCATGAAAAAGAACTAACTTTTTTTTGTATTCCTATAAGATTTTTATCAGACTTTCTTGTTGACTAGCAGGTATTCAAAATCAGCGAGTAGAACAGCTTTTTAAGCTTTTAAATAAGTTTTATAAATGTGCCAGCAGTGAAAAGGTCTACGTTCCTAAAAGTATCAGTTAACACACATTTGAGAATATGGTTAAAATTGGTACAGGAAAGGACTTTTTGGTGCATTTTAGCAGTACTTGAAGCATACCAAACAATTAGAAAAATGTCTTAATTTTTTTGTGAATAGTTTCACAAGTAGTGAATTGTGAATCAATGTTATGTTGACTCTGATAGAAGTGGATTTAAATTCATGAGTATGTGTGTAGTCAGCAGAAAAACTTATTTGTACTGGCTACAGTGAGTTAATGTTTCATCTAAAATTATTGTTATGTATCAATTTTCCTTTCTTTTTTTATTTTTCTTTCTACATGTCTCCTTTAGTCTGATAATGGTCAGGTAAAAAAAAGGTAAACAAAAATAGCCCCAAATCGCCTAGTGATAATCACCAAGACAGAACAGCTAAAAACTGGATACCCATCAAGCCACCCAAAAAGTAAAGTATGATACTGTATTAGTTGAAAAAAATAAGTTCAGAGTTCACGTAAAATTAAAAACTCTTGACAACCACATAAAAACCCCCTCCAAACCATCACAGGAATGGATTTTGAGCAGCACTATTTGTGCCAAGTTTACGACAGCTATACGCAGTCAGTGCATCTCAAAAGTCAGGCCTGGATGTATGTGTGCATATGGAGCTGTACCTTCATAAGCGACATAAAGCACATCTGTCACACTTGATTAACTGAGATGCCATTTTTTCTTATATTTACACCAGTGTGAAGAATGTGAAAAACCTTTCTTATGCCTGCAACATAGTGACTCTGAAACAATATCCATGTGTGTATTCTGTCGTCTGTCTCATTTCAGTGAGAAAAATTTTGCCATTGCCACCTCCCACTACTTCTGATCTTTAAATTAATCTAGTGGTCTTGGGATGTTAACACTTTTCAGTATAAATGGAGTGTCTGTACGTCTTTATGTAATACACGCATAAAGCTAAGGCTTTCCTCTAACCTGGCTCTACCATAGTATTCTGCATGGAGAATAATGAAATACATTGTACTAATCCATTAAATAGCTGTGATGTATCAGGTAAAGAATAAAATCCCCAGGAGTAGAAATATTATTTATGCTGCATGGTACTAGACAGTAAAATTACTTACTTGTCCTTTGCGAAACTTTAAATAATTTAAAATGAATACACTAGTTCCAAGTTCAATTTACTGAATAAAATGTGTGGATATGTAAATGATTGACAGGTTTCCTTCCATCCTTTAGCTAAAGCATTCTTCACTATGGCAAACAAAGAATCTTTGCTGTCAGTGGACATCAGAAAGAGTTTTGTCAGTAAAACCACGAGTAAGACCATGAACTTTTTTCTAACTTGTTGGCTCTACCCCTTACAAAAATTTGGTAAAGGAGCTTTCAGGCATTGAGAGTAAGTTGTGGTTCACGTCTGACATGATGCAGCACAAGTTAATTCTGTGCGACAAAGGCTCCCTCCAACAAGGAACGTGGTTTTTCTACCCTGTCTTAGGAGCAACTCTGAGAGGATTATATCTATTCAGTCTATGTCCGAATGTCAATTAATAAAAGATTAAGTGTTTCAAAATATTTGGAAGTCTTCTTTCTAAAAATAGTGTTTTCAACCTCTTCAACATTTCTTTCTAACAGGAGCCTAAAGTGGGGAAAATGGTTGGAACTGGGCATGTGACAGCCTGGAATGCAGTTAAGCTGTGGAAGACAAAGAAATTGAAGTAGGTTGATTTTTTTTCTCTTGTTTAAAGTACAGGAATTGTGTAGCAACAATTACACTTGAATCCGAGGTTAAATGAAAATTTTTTCTAGGGAAGAATATGTTTTATGAAGATTTATGGCTTTGAATAAGTATCAGGTGATAAATTGTATTATTTTCCAGCATTCTTTTCCCTTCTACTCCTTAATTAAATATTATTGTTTTGTTATAGAGGCTAGAAGAAAATGCTGTGTCTATGCTCCTCATGTTTGGTTTTTTTTTTTTAAACAGATCACACAAAATGTGCATGTTTTATAGCTGAATTAATTTAGCTTTAATGTAGTTAATACTGAACTAATTTCTGTATGTTAGAAAAGATTAGTCCTAGAATAATTAATGTAATATTAGAATTGAAAGTGTTCTTTGTTGCTTTACCCTTTTCAGCTGGAAAAATCAAAGCTCCATTTTTTTCTGCCGAAACAGAAAAAAAACCCAGAAAATAAAAGCTTGGTTCATTTTGCAGTAATGATGTGAATAGGTTGGAAAATTTCTTTTGAATGAATCCTTTTTCTGTTTCCCAAATTGAGGAAAAACAAGGACAAATGAATTCTTACATTCTATTTTTAATAAAATCAGTAAGCTTTAATACTTATTGCTGGTTTGTGTCCATTACCATCACTGTTTAGTGCTTGGGTGCCACGTGAGTCAGCTTGTCTTCAGCGCTGAACTGATCTCACCTGCAGCAGTAGGCTCATATTTGTATGCCGTGTGGGTTTTACAGAGCATGTGATGATTACAGACAATTCATAAGCTGGAGATTTATCTGCAGTTTTTTCTGGCTCCTGTAGCCCTGTAGTTTGACTAATGCACTCAGTCCCCGTTCTTATCTGATGAGAAAGTTGTAAGACTCTGTTTGACCAAGTCAGTGTGGCCACCCTCCTGTAGGAGTTATTTGCAGAATACATCCATAATTGGGCTGTAAATATGCCTTCGATGCCCGCTAAGCTGCCAAAGCAATCTCTGCCCTTTGCGGGTTCTGAGGACGCCCCAGCCATGTAGCAGGGTCTGCGCACAAAGCCGATCCGTTCCGAAGGCCTGGGTCGCAGCCAGGCTCCGTGTTCACTGGTGGCTCCTGCCCACCCGGTGACACCATCCTGGCACAGCGAGGGGCTGCGGCCCTCGGGGACGGCGTTCTACTGGCGGCAGCATGAAATCGGTGTGAACAATCGCAGGGAGCTGCCCAGAGCGCTTTTTCTGGTGGTTTTGCTTGTACGAACACGTGCGTGTTCGGTCAGGCCCTCTGGCGCTATGTGTGTGCACAGATCACACAGCACATAAGCAGAGTGTGGTTACGCATATTGCAGTTTAATTTTTGCATCGTTATAGGTGACTGCAGCACGTGACCGAGGTCCGATCTTCCCCTGGTATCTTCTGCTGGGAGCCCTGGGCAGTCGAGGCGCTGTGGGATGAGGCCGGACTGGAGCCTACCCGTAAGCAATCTCGCCTCAATGGTTTTTTGAAATGCTGACGTTTATCTATTTCCTTCAGCCTTTACCTGCGTTGTGCCAAACCAAAGGCTGACGCGTGTGTGCGGTGCGCGGTCGCGCACAGAGAACGGGCAGCGGCCGCCCCCTTCCCGCGGTTCTCAGCTGCGGCACCAGGCGCGGTTCGTCCTCCCGCGCTGCAGCCGCGCGTCGGGGCC